AAAGTTGAAGTATACCAGAGTGAGGATGTCAGCTGCATCATCCAATTTATCCAGTACGTTCATAACTAATCTTTCAACCACTTCCTTTCGATCGCTTTCATTCAATGCATTAATGAAGCGATTGAGCGTGCAAAACTGCAAAGTAAAATTAAAAAATAAAAAAGCGATAAATAAGTAGAAGAATAAGATAATTGAAGTGATACCATATCCTTTTCTTCAAATGTACTGATTATGTAATTGCAGCACTGTAAAAGGCAGACTTCTTTACTCAAGATGCCCGGTTTCAATTTCTCCACTATTTGGACAACCTAGAACGAACTTAGGTAGTACGGTTAATGCAAAGAAAACTATTTTAAAACAATCTAAAATTAAGAATAAAATTAAGGAAAAGTGGAAGTTAACCTACCTTCAGCGAATCAATGGTTCTTTTTTCTAAATTTCGCTCCACTTGCTCTTGCCGTAACATAAAACTAATCAGTGAAGTTACGTATCGTGATCCTGAGATTAAAGCTTCAACACAAGAGAATGGGATAGAATAAGGTATTAAAACTTGCCCAAGTTGCGCTAAGTCACACAGTTTCCGTAGTTCAACTTTCCTAAAAGGGTTTTTCACGCAGCGAAACATAATGTACACAAATTACACTAGTAAGTGTGCTAAAATTACAATGATGAATCCACGTTCGCATCATTCATCATCAAATCTACGGTATCTCGTAACTGCTGAACCCATGGAGGATGTGCTCGTTTAGCTATACTGATCACCGCCCTACAACGGAGAGCACGAGACCCAATATTCTCTGCTACTGCTAAGCATCTGCCGTCCCAATAGTTGAGATTTGCAGCAACATCAGATGAGATTCTTGATAATTCCTAGTAATTATAATTACTGAATGAAAAACGTTTAAAAAATTTAGCAAATGTATACCAGTATGTAATTGAAGAGCGTTTGATCCACATCGAGTCTGTACTCCTCCATATATGGTACGGCAAACTGTTTTATATTTGGACTAACAAGCTGCACATTTTTTGCACGACTGAGAATAAGGTGGCATATACTTTCCTTCGTTTGTTCCTAAAGAAAGAAAAGTGACTAAGAAAAATTAGATTAAGTAAACGACTAAAAATTTCGAACTACAAACTATTTCTAGACTTGATTTACAAAACAGTGAGGGTCAAAAGAGTTACCTAACCTTATAAAGCTTATGGCTTAAACAGCATTCATATTTCTTCTTAAGTTTAACCATTTCCCTTAGATCTTTAACGTAAACATTTAATCGGCCCATCGGATATTCTTCATTTTCAGAATCGATATGAATCACTGCCAAACTATGCGCAAGTTGAGCCTAAAGATCTCTATATCGATAATATTCTAAGTCAAACCATAAAATAGAAGCATTTTACTTTAATTTTTCACCTGTTGTAACGGAGTAATAGCGCTTGCTATCATAGCATTCGCAGTACGCTCCATTATTGAACAAACGTCCAGTGCATTCTCGGGGAATTCTATGGGGTGTAGAACCTCCAGTTTATTGCCAAATGACAGTATCCAATCAAAAAAAGTTTCCGAAAGTTCGTTTGGATGGGCGTAAAGCGCTACAGGAAGTAATTCGTGTTCAGCAAGTTCAAACAGTTCGACAGGATATTTTTCCTCTAAAAGTAAAAAAATTACTCAAACACGACCGAAAAAACCAGCATTTACGCCCAAAGTCAACCCTGACACAACAATCTCTTGAACCTGACTTTCTTCGTAAGTATAAAAAGAACTAGGAAGTGAAAAAGTAAAAAAAGAGCCAGACTTCCCATTTATACTGCTAGTCAAGATGTCCACAAACGAAGAAAATGCAGCAAAACTGTCCTGCATCCATGGTTTTAAAACACAATTATACCGATTCCACAATAACCTTGCTTCAGTACCACAACCTTCTTTGCAAAAACTAAGGAAAAGCTCTTTCCAATTGTCATCGCTCACAAAATCATTCCATGCTGATTCACGATCAAATGAGGCCTAAATTTCAAAGAAATATAACAACACTAAAAGTACTGTAAGGTACATCAATATTTTGCGAAATAAAAAAGCTGGAAACAATTACTTTTTCAGGACCAAACAACATACGGTAAGTCGACAAATTATACCGCAATCGACATAAACTTTCTTTAGTTTCCGGATCTGAAACAACTTTTTTGAGTGTTATCAAGTGAAGAACTCAAAAAATACGTCTTATAAATACGTCTTTCTAAAAAACAATGCAATGTCAAAAAGAAAACTATTTAAAAACCTGTTATATTCCTCGTTTCGGCGTACCGCAGTATAGATACAATCCAATTGAAAGATCTACACAGTGTAGCACCAGCCGTACAACTTTCTCCAACCTAAACTAGAAGCACTAATTCTACCCAGTATAAATCATTGCAAAAGACAAGTACAACCGGGCACCAAATAAACAAAAGAAGAGATGAAAGTTACCCAATTGTTGTCTTCTATTTTATCAAGGCAGGCAATAAATGCATCAAACAATCCTTGGTCCTCTACGTCGGAGTCCAAACAAGACAGCAAATAATTTGCCCGAGCAACGTAAACTTTCTGAACCAAAAAATAAATACTCCGTTACCAAGTATGCAAGAAGTTACATTAATTAATGGCTACCTGCAAGTCAAGACCAAAAAGATTTGCTAACTGCTCTGCTTCGTCAAACTGACATCTGATTAACATTCTCTGCAACCGCATATCTGGTTGGCATTCAGAGACAGAACGAAGGCGAATCGAAGCGTCAGTTCTAAAATTTAACATCAGTAGAAAGCAAAAATGATTGAAAGGTCTCA